CACAGGGATCAGCCTCACTATAGAGAAAAGTACCAGCAAAGAACTGGGGATGCACCCTGAATAGGGCCAAGTGATGCTTGGCTGGACCCCTGGCTTCAGTACCTAGGCTTCAGAGTAAAGTAATTTAGAAGGCAAATCTCGTATTAGACCGGACTCATATCCTGACTATCATTTACTAGGGGCATGGTCTTTAATAAGCTACTTAATGTCCTTTGTCTTGGCTTCCTTATACATAAAATAAGTGCCGAGGAGTTTATTTCACGGTGTTGTTGGAAGGATTCAATGAACTCTGAAGCACAAAAGCTTTGCTTTTTGGTCTTTGGTTCTTTTAAGATAGGGTCTCACTAGATAGCCCCTACTAGCTTGGGACTCACAATATCCCTGCTGTAGCCTCCTGAATTTTGAGATTCTAGGCATGCATTGCCATGTATGTTTTAGAATCCTTTACATTATTTTGTTTGTTTGTGTGTTTGTTTCATAGTCCTGGAGACGGGATCGAGGGCCTTGAATGTGCTGTGTAAATGCTCCCACTGAACCACAGCACGGTCCAAGGGGCTCCTGACCCTTGGGCAGTGCTAGGGTGTCTGGCAGGGGCCAGGGGAAAGCAAGATTGACTCATCCGTGGGAACTGTTGTGCCAGCACCCAGACATTTCCCACAAATGTTGAAGGAAACCAACAATAGCATTTTCCACCTCTCTCTAAAAGCATAGCCTGAGACTTGAAAGAAATATTGTAAATAGGGATTGTTCCAGAAAGTTCAGAACATACAGACATCATACTTGAGCCTTCTTGACACAAGGAGTTCAAATATAGACTCATGTAGACCCTGAACCCTGTCCTGGAGCAGCTTCTGCCACCTGCTCTAGGTGGCAGCCCTCTGATTTCAAGGCTAAATTCCACCTGGACTAGGAACAGTGTTTTCTGTTAGCTTCAGGCACTGCAGGTAAGTGGGTGGCATTCCTGAGGCAGGAAGGACTTCCAGGGGACCTGAGGTGGTGCTGCCAGAAACTAACAGGCAGTAGGACTGACTGACAAACAACAGCATGTACTTGTGCTGGACCAATCAGGTAAGACCAGCCAGTCTAGAAAATTTCTGCCAGGGGTCTCATTCTGAATACTGCAATGGAGAGTCTCATTCACTCATTCATTCAGTCAGTAAGTCATTCGGTCAGTCATTTAGTCATTCATTCATTCAGTCAGTCAGTCAGTGAGCACCTGCTATGTGTCATGCCTAGCATAGAGTTACAGAAATCCATGGTCCCTGCCCATAGAAACTTCTTGGGAGGGGACTTGTCTTTGTGATTGGTGTTACCTAACTATTCTTCTGTGTTCCTTCCCTCTCACTCAAAATCTTAGGTCAGGACACAATTCTGACTGCCCATAGTTTCACAGCTTTGCCAGATGACCCTTGCAGTGGCCTCTTCTCCAGACTGCCTGAGTGCTATCTCCATGGCTTCTGGGAGGGCACTCCAGGTGGCAAGCACTGCCAACCGCTTTCTTTTACTCCACTTTCCCACCCTCTTCTTTCATGCTCTCTCCCCCTTTTCTCCTCTTCCTAGCCTCCCAGCTCACCCCCTCCTAGCTCTAGACTCTCTCCAAAGCTGGACACTCAGCCGCAACACCAGGTTCCATCCTTCTTGCTAAGCATCTTCACGCTGTCCAGCACCACCTGGTTTCTGGTGTGGAAAGTCTCTTCCTTTCCCTCTCCCTCTTTCTGCCCTTCCCCTGCTTTTCTGCTAGCTTCTTGCAGAGGCTCCTCCTTGCACCTTCATGGTCCATGGCCCCTCCCACCCCCTTTCTTTTCTTCTGTCCTCTCTCTCTCTTTCTCTCTCTCTCCCTCCCTCTCTCTTTCTCTCCCTTCCTCTCTCTTTTTCTCTCTCTCTCTTTCTCTCCCTCCCTCTCTCCCTCTCTGTCTCTCTCCCCCCCACACCTTAGCTCCTCCCCCTTCCTTCATTGCCTTCACAGAGCACAAAGTGACAGCCCAGGCCTGTGACTAAGTTGGAGGGAAATACCCTGCCTCCCAGCAGTATCTGCACTCCTCTCCCTGCCCTGTAGCTCACTTACCTGACACAGACACAGACACACACACACACACACACAGACACACACACACACACACACAGACACACACACACACACAGACACACACAGACACACACACACACAGACACACACACACACACACACGTGCCATGAGTCCCTCTACCGTACTTCACTGCTCATCAAAACCCCCCCTTTCCAGAAGAAGATGCTTCCTCTGTGGCCTTTCTTTCCACTCGGGGACTCCCTCGGGACTCCTCCAGCCTGAGGTCAGAGTTCTCTGCCAGCTTTGTCCTCTGGCACCAGCCACTAGCACGTTCTTTCTACCTGTCTGCCCTACTTCCCTTCTCCCCTTCCTCAGTCTCCACCTCCCAGTGCCTCCTCTTCCAGCAGTGAGCTTCCTCTTTCCTTCCCTTCCAGCCCTCCCCTGCTTTCCTTTGCTGCCTCTGTAACCTGTCTTACCACCAGGGCCAGTGTGTACAAAAAAATAAATAAATAAAAAGGTCAGTGAGCGGAGGGAGCAGCAATAACCCCTAAAACAGTACTATCAGTGGAACATGATTGATCAATTGAATTCCATAGCGGCTGAAAAATGTGGGATTAAGTAGTGTATTATACGCACAATGAGTTGAGGCATGATGTTCATTTCAAGTTCATTTCGCCGGCCTCTGCCACCAGATCAGGCAATCAATAGGGGCAGCAGATATCATATATCACCTCTCTGCGGGCTGGGGAGAGAGCGCCATAATCTCTCGCAAATTTAGAGTGACAGATTTGTCAAGATCTGAAGGGCCCCTGAATAAATGAAGGCAAAGAGACTCCTCCAGCCAGTGACCTGAGGACAAAGCTTTAGTTCAGCTCCTGCACACACACACACACACACACACACACACATACACACACACACACACACATATCTTGGTCACAGGGTGAAGCAAGCCACACACAGGCATGTACACAAATCCACACAGAGGCATGAAATGCCTCTTGCCACGTGTGTGTGCTCACACTCACACACATATTTGAATGCATGCTCACAGACAAATGTACCGTCTGCTCCCTAGAACCCATTCAGTAGGCGCAATAAATACCAAGTCTCCTGATGCTGCTCTCACGGGGCCTGGCAGCAGGGCTTCCCTGGAAAGCAGGAGGGCTGCAAGCAGAGACAGGCACAGTGGGCCATGGTGACAGGCGGTGGAGGTGGGGAGATATGCATTCTGGAAAAAGATGCTCGCGGGAGAAAGGGGGTATGGCTCGCGTTACTTGTATGCACGCGTAATTCCAAAAAAGATTCCCACTGTCATTCATACTCATCGAGACACTTATTCACCCAGATGTTTATTACGTTCACATATATATGCACAGAGAACACCCACACAAAAGGGGAAATGAGTATACTGTAGTCCAGTTTCCCTACAGGGTCACACATGGTTCCAGAACCGTGCAGAAAAAGTACAGCTACCAGGTCTTGCATCCACAGGAACACAGGAATGCCACCAAGGCTGCCTCTGCCCACCTCAGACCCATCTTTGTGTGTGTGTGTCTCTCTCTTTCTGTGTCTTTCTCTCTCTTTTTCTCTTGTTCTCTTCCCTCCCCTCTCCCTCTACATATTTCCTTTCTCCCCTCCTCCCTCCACACTCTTTCTTTGCTCCTGCACAGTATGATGGGAAGATGGGAAGTCCTTTTGGAAAGCAGTGCCTTTTGCTCCATCTGGGCGGCCAGCGAGGGAGGATGGCTGTAGATTGAGGTTAATCAATATGTAATACTTTCTATGGTCTCCCAAATGATACTGTACGATGTTACTGTATATAATGCGATATTGATTATATCATATCATATAATCACCTATAAACTGATATATATAACAGTCCCAGAAGAACACCCTGGGCCCTAAAGCACAGGCTGGCCCCAGGTCCAAGGCTCCCTAGCTTGTCATGGGCTGAGGGAAGCCAAGGGATGGAGGGCTGGGGCTGGAAGACCAGGAGAGTTGCTAGGTGAGGGCTCAAAGGGGCTGTGGGGCAGGTGTTTTGTTCTCAGTATGCTCTAAAAGCTCCAAGTGACCCAACACTGGAAGGCGGGGACAAAACAGGGCGATGGACAGCAAACGAGGACCATGGAACCTCACTTGGAGACCAGACTGCCTTCTGGCTGGAAATGGGCTCTAGTGGTCACTTTCCAGTCCTTTTCCCATGGAGCAAGCCTTGTCTCTTGTTGGAAACCTGATGGAATAACCAGGTGTCCAGGGAGCTAGCTCCTGCTGAGGCCTGAGCCAGGACCCTCCAGGGGAGAATGGTGCCAGGTCACAGCAGTTTGCATGTTCTCTGGAGTCTGTCCAGGGTGCTAACCGTACATGGCTCCTCTGCTCTGTCTCCAGCCCAGCCAGGGGACCTCAGCTTTGCTCTCAGAACCCTTCCTCCTTGGGAGAAGTTAATTACTTTCCCCCATACTCTGTGTTATACTCAGCTTCAAAGATTTGATGATTTTCAGCCCCTGGAATCCGTTGGAACTGAAATTTATCTGAACCCAGTTCAATTCTCCACAGTAATGCCTGTCTGGGAACCCAGACCTAGATGACTCAGGCTGGGGGATGGGTGGAGGTCTTGGGGAAAGAGAGCCTTGAAAGCAGTTTCGTGGGACCCCCAGGCTCCACCTCTGCCTTGAAAGCAGCTTCGTGGGACCCCCTGTCTCCACCTCTGCCTAGTCTTTCTTATCCACACAGCTATGATCTCCCTTCTTTTTCTCTTCTCAACTCTTTCAGGGCTCTGACTTCCTCAGCCAGGTCTCTGAGGAAGGGCCAGACTCTGGCCTCTAGGCCTAGGCCTCCAGCCTCCTCCTCTAGTTTATGGACTAGAAGTAAGGGACCTTAGCAGAGGCACAGTGCCCAATCATTTACCCACTGCATCCTTCCTTGTTTCTGCTGGCCTCGTGCTCATGCCTTAAGTGTCTATGTGTTCCCCAGATGTATCTGAGGGCTCTGTCCCTAATGGAGACTCCCAGAGCGGTGTGGACAGTTTGCGGAAGCACCTGCGAGCCGACACCTTCACCCAGCAGCAGCTGGAAGCTTTGGATCGGGTATTTGAACGACCTTCCTATCCAGATGTCTTCCAGGCATCAGAGCACATCAAATCAGAACAGGTGAGAGGGGAGCTTCCTGTTCACCCAGAACAGAAAGGAACTGGGTGGAGCACAGCCCTTCTCACACCAAGCACCCAGCACGGTGTGCGTTCATATGGCTACTATGTGTGCACTTTGTGACCGTGATAGCACAGACCACTGTTAAGGCATAGCTGAGAGAAATATGTATTCCACTATGTAGTTGCTGAAAATGATGAGCTCTGGTGAAAGGATGAATATTATCTCAATTCAGAGTTTCCAATTCCTTATGAAGGGCAGTGCAACATTCCACAGTCCCCCACCCTAGCTCTGCATTCTGTGACCCTGGTACAAGGACAGAAATATCCCCTTACTCCAACCCAAACAGAAATATCCCCTTGCTCCAACCCGTGCCCAGCCCTCACGAGGTCCTACAGAAAGTCAGTAAAGATCCTCTTGTCCTGTGTCAGAAGGAAAGCCCACCTGGCTGCCTTCTGATGCATCTGCCTACTCTGAACCCAGACCAGCCGCTGGTTGTCTTAGTTACCCACCATGCCCACAGACAGAGAAGTGCACAGAGCGCAACACAGCCTGGAGCACATGCCACATCAGCAAAACACACCACTTGGAAGCGTATCCCCAAGGACCTCCCATTTCAGGGCTAGCAGGATTGCTCAGAGAGGAATGGCACTTGCCACTCAGCGCTGTAAGCCTGGCAGCCTGAGTTTGGTCCCGGGACTCATGTAAAGGCGGAGGGGAAGAACTGACTCCACAGACTGCCTTTCACATGTGTGCCATGGGATGACCTACTCCCCACCCTATAATTTTTTTTTATTTTAAAACTTAAAGAAGACTTCCCATTTCCCATTACCGTACCCGCTCTTTCCCTGGCATGCAGCTCTAGCTATGTAATTCAGCCGTGCTGCAAACCCCGTAAGTGTGCATGCTTCCTAGGTCACTCGCTCAACACTCCTCTAGCACACGCCTCCACCCGCACATCACCATAGCCCCAGCCTGCCTACATACGTGACCTAGGTCAGGCCTCGGAGTGCAGCAGAACACAGCCTGCTGTGATTCTCACGCTTGCGTGCTCACACACACATACACACGCTTGTACACTGGCAAAGCCCCTCAAGCTCACATAGCACACTTACACTCAAAGTCTCCAACAGCTCCTAGCCTCTCGACTTTCTCCCCGCCCGGCCTTTTATCCCATAAGCTGTTTGTCTTCATAAAACAAAAATCAAAAGTCTTTTTAAGGTGCCCTGAGCCATAAACCAACAAAGGAGGAGCTGGCCGAGGCGGGCGGCTCAGTGCACCCTCCCCAAGTCCCCGGCTGTATTACAATGAATAACCTTTATTTACTTTCATTAGACTATTAAACACCAGCACAGTCATTTTTCCCCCTGAAACTCAGAGCAGGGCCCATAAAGCAAATCCGAAGCCTAATTGAGTTCATTTTAATTTCTCTCCGATCACAGCGAATTACTCTGGTGATAAATCAGGGGGCAGCTTCACCCCCAGTAGAAGGCCTAATTTGCAGCTAATTACAAAACTGATTTCTACAGGAAGATCAATACGAGAAGGAATTGGAAATGACGAGGCAATCCCGTCCAGCCAGAGAGGGGAGGGGGTCCTCTGGGGGGGCCAGGAAGCGGAAGGAAAAAAAAACGGACCCGAAAGAGCAGAAAATCAGTTTTAATTTAACGTAATATTAATCAGAGCAACTTTTCCTGCTCTGTGCAGGCTCCTGGGCTGCCCAGCTCCAGGGTCTGGCTTGGTGGTGGCTGCAATAAAAAGGCAATTACCCAAGTGTTTCGGGCAGGACACCCTTTCAGACTCAATGGCTGGCCCCCTCCCACCCTTCTGTTAGCCATGTGGACTCTCCCCCTCCCCAATTTCATACCCCAGTGCACAGGCAGAGAGCAAAGGGCCCATGGGGCTGTCTTTGTTTGTTTTTTAAAAAGGGGCGCCCATACCCCATCAGCCAACCCAGCAGTGCCAGGCTGGAGGCCCCACGAGGCTCTTCCCCCAACAACTACCTTGACCATGTGTCAGGGACCATCTCTGCTCCCCAAGACTCCTGCTCAGAGGAACCCGAGCACCCCACACGTCTCAGCAAGGGGTTCCCTACTGCTATGCTCCCCCTGGAGCTCCTTAGGCAGAAGCTAAAGAAGAAGCTCCAGGAACGCTGTGAACTCCACCCCCAGGATGGACTAGCCCGCCACTCTCTCCAAACTCTCCCCGACTCCCTGCCCCACCCAGCCATCTCCTTCTGCCCCATCTGGGAGGGCTCCAGGGTCCTCCTCTCCATCTGCACACTGCATCCTATGTATGCACATCAATAGAGAGCTGTCACTTTTCTCTCTCCTCCCAGGGGAATGAGTACTCTCTCCCGGCCCTGACCCCTGGGCTTGATGAAGTCAAGTCAGGTCTCTCTGCATCCGCCAACCCCGAGCTGGGCAGCAATGTGTCAGGCACACAGACATACCCCGTCGTGACCGGTAAGGGGGCTTCCAGGAGGGTGGGGTGCTGCTTTCAGTGGGGTGCCTCAGTTGATGCCATCTGGGGCCCAGTGTGACAAGTGGGTCCCCTGCCATGGTAGAGAGAGAGAGAGAGAGAGAGAGAGAGAGAGAGAGAAGGAAAGAGAGAGGGAGGGAGAGCCTTACTGAACAGATGTGTGTGGATGAAGGCTTGAAACATTGTGGTGGGGGCTCTGGGCTTCAGCCTGAAAAGTGGGGGTTAGGAGCCTGCTCTCTTCTGTTCTTCCTTCCTTCCTCTCTCTCCCCAAGTTGTCCAGCCTTCCCAGTCTTTGGCTAGGACGTGTGCAGAAGAATGTCTGGGCAAAGAGGCCAGCTGAGGAAAGTGACTAAGAGGTCCCCAGCCTCTAGCCTTCAAGGTTCTCTGTCCCCGACGTTGCTGAGGACCTAGTTTTCCTCTCTCGTGCAGCTTGAGTAGCTGTGGCCTGGAACCTGAGGGTGTAGTAGTGGCCCTGCAGAGTGGAACACAGTTATTGCGGCCTTTCTGCTTTCTTCTTCCTGGAGAAAGCCACCGAGAGGAAAGTTGGATTCCAAGGCCAGGGGAGGTCAAATATAGGACAGAGGCACCCTGGCCAAGCCTTCCAGGGATGAGAGTTGCAGAGGTGCTGGAGCGGCCATAGAGGGGAAAGCTGGTAGAGAGGCCTCAGAGGCCAGCTTCAGAAGGTCCGTGGTGCCACAGAAGGGTTTCCAGGCCAGGAGAGAGCTCTAGTAAGAGAGACACACATCGAGGTGTTATTAAAATTCACCTAATTATTCTGGAGGCACTAAAGCCAATGTGCCGTTTGTACCTTGGGAGACAGGATGATTGAGAAGGGTCTCGGTGGGGATTGGGAGACACTGGGGCGTTACCTGTGAGTGAGCTGAGATTGACTGGGGACGGGGCAGCAAGGCTGTAGGCAGCCAGCATCACATCCAGTGGCAAAGATAGGGAGCAGGCAGGGGCCCTGATACAGGACAGGGCTCTGTGGTGATTTGTTGTGTTGGTGACTTGGTGACTTCCTGTGGCTAGAAGCTCAACTCAGGCAGAGGTGGGCTCAGAGGCCCCTCCAGGGGGCTCCAGAGAGCCCTACATCTCCCATGCTTTCCTGAAGACATACAGCCATGTCCAGCAAAAACAGAGTTGTAGTCTTTGGCTAGGAATCCAGAGACTGAGTCTCTGATGGGTTCCTGGGCTGACTCGGCTTCTCGGAGTGATGACCTGAGCTACACCAGCTGAGTCAGAACACAGCTTAGATCAGTGCTTCTCAGCCTTCCTACTGCTGTGACCCTTTTCTTACAATGCCTCACGCCGTGGCGACCACCCCAACCATAAAAGTTTTTCGTTGCTACTTCATAACTGTAGTTTTGCTACTGTTAACTATGCTACATTATGAATCATAATAAAATAATCTGATATGCAGGATATGCAACCCAAAGGGGTCCGACCCACAGGTTGACAACCCTCTAGCTTAGACCAACAGGCCCTGGATATGAGTTCTCTGAAGTCCAATATAGTTGCTCTCTGACAGTCCGTCCAAGCCAGGCCAGCTTTCGGGCACAGTGGCTGCTCCTCAAAAGTCGGAAGAGAGTGTAAGGACCTTTATAGTCAGCGCTGCAGTCCAGAAGGCAGGAACTTCCTGGGGGTGGACATGTGGCTCTTCCGGGCAGGACTCCTGCTGCAAGGGACCCTGGGGGGCTAATGTAGAAAAATGCTTCCACCTTGAGCAGCCCCCACCAGTCTCCCCCCCATGGCCCTGGAACGGTCCCAGCTCAGCCTGGGAACATCTTTGGCTGATCCATCTGGATCCAAGTGTGAGAAAAGTTCATTTCAGACCCAGCTTGACATTCCCAGGTGGCAAGTTAGCACTAACGTCTCAATCTGTATGCGACATTTCAATCAAGCGAGGAGTAACAAAAGCAGAACCATTAACATTCGGAGCTGTTCGCCAGTGGTAATGACGGGGAAACTCGCTCAGAAACTGGAAATTACCAAAAAAGAGAGAAGTGTGGAGGGAGTGGGGGAGGGGAGGGAGGGGTGGCTGGGGGCAGGGAATGATTTTGTTCACACTCAGACCAAGAGCCAATGTTTGGATTAATAGCGCCATTACTCGAGAAAGAGCTGCAGATTATGCTCATTCTTAAAATGTTTTAGCTGGCAATTAAACGGCTGAAGCTATTGATCTTTGTTGATTTTATGTCCTCCTAATTTGCATAATCTATTAAAGATGAATGATTCATGATGTGTTTATTATGGGGACAAACAGAATTTGCTGGAGCTACTGTCAAGGTGAGAAACGGGTATTGCCCTGAGACTTCGTGGGCCATCTTGGGAACAGGTTTAGCGTGCTGGGCTTTTTTGGGCCGGGACTTGACAGGTAGCAAGAAGCAGTGTGGCAAGGACAGGCAGAACAAATGGACTTTGAGTGAGTTCTAGAGAGATGTTGACATCTGTGAGAACTGGGCTCCAAGCATGCTGGGGAGGTGAGAGAGACTCTTGGTGTATTTGCAGAAATTCTTCTATCCCCGCCCCCCATAGAGCCTCATTATGTAACCCAGGCTGGCCTCGAACTCAGAACAGTCCAACTAAGTACCTCAGTCTCCTGAGTGCTTTGATTAAAAAGAGTGAGCCACTCCATCCAGCTCACAAACGTTCTTTAAAAGCTTATTTCATCTGAGAATGGTAAGGGCTTTGGTGGAGGAAAAAGGGAACCTAGTAGTAGGCATGGCCTCATGGGTGCTAAATCAGGGAGCTGCCAGGTCATGCTGTGCCTATAGCCTTGGATGTGCCAAGGCAATCCGCAAGTCCCCAGGTACCCGGCTCAGCCTCCTCCCTAAGAAGAGGCAAACCCTAAGAAATGGGTCTTAAGGAAGCTGGCGGGGAAGGCCTTGGCCCAACCTGCAAACCAGACCTTATTGATATTCCTGCCACCTCCTGGCACTAGAGGCTGATTTCAAACTTCACCAGCCACTTGATACAGCTGTTCCACAAGGTCAGGACTGAGAGGAGACAGGAGCCTGTACTATTGTGTGGCAGGGAGAGTGGGAGCCAGTGGGCCAGGACACAGCTAATCACATCACAGGCAAGGGTGGCTGCCATAGGCTAGGACTCAGCCTGAGAGCCTCCCCACCCAGCTTCCAGCAGGGAACCAAGGCAAGACACCAATTTCTCAGGGTAGCGTTTGGAAGTTCTTCTGAGATTTTAATTTCACTGCATCACAACTCAGCAAGCTGCCAAGTCAAGCTGGTTATTTAAATTTATCACCCACGCTCCTCTCTGCTGCTGGGTTGCCCTAGCTCGGCTGTGTCTCTTTGCTCCAGCCCACTGCTCTAGGCTGCTGGTCTGGAACAGAGCCGAGTCTCAACTAAGTGATAAGGAAAAGGGGAGAGTGGGCCAGGGGCACTCTGGCCTCGGGCTTCCTCAGGGTGGTTGCTTGGAGCTGCCTTCAAAGCCTGCTTATCCTCTTCAAAGGACCCCACGGGGGAGTAGTAGCCTTTAACCCTTACCTATTCCCCAAGCCCTCTGATCTGGGACTCTGCTGTGGTCACCTGTTCTAGCATTCATTTCTTAAGTTTCCCATCACCAGGAGCAACAAGAGCCCCTCTTCCCCATGGCTTCCTCTCTGACCTTGGCCCAGGCTGCAGCAGTAGGGAAGCCTGCAGAGACCCCAAAAGCAATGTTGTTCTGAGAGGAGAAGCTGAAAACAAGTTCTAGAATCCTCAAAGTCCTTGGGGATTCGAGAGTGTCTTGACTTGGGCAAAATCTGCTCTACAGCAGGGCAAGTTTACTTCCTGGGTGTATGTGGACTGTGATGAGGCTGAAGGGAGTTGGTGCCAGCACAGCCCCGATGCTTCTCAGAGAGGCTAAGGAGCACACATGCCCCCAGAGCAGCTGCATAGAGTGGGCTTCACTGGCCTCTAGTGGGCAACACCACCAAGCACTGGGCAAACCTTGCGCAAATGCAGTTCTCCCCCACGGTAAAGTCAAAGGTATGAGAGGAACGGCCCTGGTACTCAGAAACAAGGCAGACTAAGCTTATGGATAAGACAGCGCTGGTTAAAATATAGCAGCAGACTGGTTAATACAGAGTCACACCTCACTCTGGACCCAGAAACAGAGGAAAGTCGGAGTCAAAGCAGGTTGTGAGACACGGCGGCCTTCTCGTAGAGGTAAACCCTAGCGCAGGGATGTTAAGGCAGAATACACCAGGCAGAAGGTGCGATCTTGGACCCAAGAGAAAAGGAGACAGAACAAGGAAACACTGTCCAGGGACTGGAGAGCCACGGGCGCTTTCTTCCTTGTGACCCAGGGAAACAAAGTAGAGAGGTACATGTCATTGCGAGGAAAGGGGCCAGGAAAATTCATACATAGACCTAAGCCAAGTTCATGCCATAAGCAGCTGCAGGAACCCCACGCTAAGAACATACAGAGAATTTTGTGGGGGACAATAGTTTACTCTGGTGTGAGCAGGAATGAAGTAAAACCTTCTATGTAGAGATAGCCCATGATCCAAGATGCAGAGGACTCCCATTGAGAAAAAAAACAAAAACAAACAAAAGAACCTACCATAGAAGATGAGCTCATCATAAAAATGCCTCCACATTTCATGTGCCTATGAACCATCAGAGAAAGTTAACAGAAGTAATACAGAGGACAATTAACGTCCCCAAGAGACAGCTCTCACGGAATATCCCAAAGTGAACAGCAATTAAGGAAGAACTCGAAGAGAAAGATGAGCTTTTTCTTTAGCCCAGATCTAGACCCAGGATCCTTTCCCCTGGTACCAAGCCAATTGTAAGATAATGGAGACCCAAAAGGCCACTGAGAGTAAAGGGAGAGGAGCGAGCCTATTCCAAGTTTATCTAATTCGGAGTCTTCTCAGTACAGAGTTTTGCTCTTCTGGATAATATTGACTAGGAGAGATTTCAGATCCCAGGACAGCGCTCCCCTCCCCTGTGTATGTTGCAGGGGAGGTTAGTTCTTTCGA